AAATATGACAAAATTCACTTATAAAATATAAAAGGTTATAAGTAAAAAATTCACTTATGTCATTATGGTAAAAGATTACTTAAAAGTACAAAATTAACATATAACGGGAATTTTAGTTATAATTAAAAACTTACTTATAACTTAAAAATTTTATTATATGTAAATATTTCACCTATTAAGTTAAAAGTTAACTTATATACGTATAAGTAAAATATTACTTATGAGTGAAATTTTAATTATGTTCTTTACTATTTAAAAAAAAAAAATCACTGGGTAAAAAAATTGGAAGCTCATTAAGTATTTAGCCAAAAAATAAAAAGCTTAGATGCACTTACTCATGAAAATTAACTTTACAATTATATTCGTTTTTCTTCATCTTATAATCCAAGCAACAATAATTAGTCTAAAGGTTAGTACATACACAACAAAAAATGATTGGGTAATTATGTAAAGCCATATTGAATTATAACGAGTGACATATATATTTACTCCATATTGTTTACACATACCTACATTTTTCTATACATGAGCATATATGTAATATTATTTTTCTAAAAAACTTTCAAAATCGCTGGATAATAAACCCTCGAGCATAGGTTGGAATATTTTGAACATTACTACTAAAAACCGCCCAAAATTAGATCCATCTTAAACGCCCAAAATCGGTACTTTAAAGAAACCCATAACGGGTAACCCACAACTCCCATTTTGGCCTTTAAATCTGTCTGAAAATTAATCTAGAGATCTATGCGCTTCTTTTTAAGATCACAATAATCACTTGTTTTCAACAATCACCATGATATCTTCTTTTTCGCTTCTCCTTAAACTTTTGGTTCACATAGGAAGTTCATTCTAAATATTTCCACTTACTGTTCATAAAATTTGTTTGGCAGGGTCTGCATAATTATAGACAAGGTTATCTTGCTTTATGATTTGACATATTGAGTATGTAGACAATTTTTTACCCTCGTCTTTCTGAGGCAAGGTCCATTCACATTATCTAGTTTGGACTCAAATAGTAAAGAGACGAGGAAAAAAGAATAAAAGAAACCGTCATGCACATGAATGTGATCTCAAATTACTTCTCTTCCTAGATTCTATTCAATTTTCTCCATGAAATGTCATGAATGTAACATGCCATCATGTGATATCTTTTCCCGCATTCATAATCGTAATGGAAAAAGTAGAAAAGAGCATGGAGCTTGATGGCCATTGTCAGTATCAGAGTTCATTGTATATCAAACTGAAAGTTGGTTAGCCTTTTGAATGCTTGGAGAATGATAAGTGTAGTTTCTACACTTATTCGAGATCCTAAATGATAATATTTACTATTTTTTTTTTGATAAAATACTACATAACTTGTGTTTTATTTGCATTTTATAGATAAAACTCGATCTTTGATAAAAATTGAAGAAAAGAATGTAAAAATAGTGAAAAATGACAAAATCCATAAGTCGAGGACTAAATTGCAAACAATCCATAGATGAGACGGGTAAGGAAATGAAGATCGAAGATACCAAGCATTTAATTGGATACAATTGAAAGATAAATGAACAAGATTGCAAGAGAAAATCTATGAAATGAAACCAAAGTTCGGGGACTAAAGTGCAACTAATAAAAAGTTGTGTCGAACCTCACGATGAAGATTTGAGAGTGTTAGGGGTCAATCGAATGAGAAAAAAAGTCAAAGGGATGAAGTATAGTTAAAATATTATTGCACATCAACTTTCAGCTGAGAAAGTTGTGCTTCAAATTTTTAGTCTCATATTGAGACCCAATTCTGGAATAGCAAGCTTTCGAATTGAAATGATATTTCTATAAGAATTGTAGCCCTTCAAGTTAGTTTCCAATGTACTTTGAATCACCTCAATCGGATATCAGAAGATAAAGTTATGATAAAATTACTAAAAAATTATTCAGCTGTTGGAAATTAGGTAAGACGCACGCCATCGCTTACAGGAGAGGCGAGCACCCCAACCAAAAATGGGGTGCTTGAGGCGTCCCAAACCAACCAGGCACACACCTCGGTACAGAAGGGAAAAAATTCGATTTTTCTTATTTTTGTTTTGGTAACATTTTATTGTAATCTTTTTGGCATTCTTTAAATACCAAACTCGACTAGAACGTGGGGAAGGTTCGACCTAAATTTCATCATATTCTACATATTTTGAAGGCGAAAAATAAGTCTATACATCAATTCAAGATAAGTCATATAAGGATTTTGAAGATTCATAGCTCTGTTTTAAATTTGAGCTAAAAACGTGGATTTCTCATATTTCTTCCATCTTTCTTATTTTCGGGTGATATTTTTCCAATTATTCTCATGTAATTTAATTATAAGAATGTTANTTTTCCAATTATTCTCGTGTAATTTAATTATAAGAATGTTAGGCTAAATTTTTCATTATATTGGATGAATGATGAACCCTATTGTTTGTTTATTTTAATTCAAACAATTAGTTTAATATTTCTTAATTGGTTTTGCATTCCATTGAATTATTTGATTGCTTGATAACCAACTAAATAATAAGTTGCTTATTGTAGTGTAGGAATACTCACAATAAATTTAGAACGCGACAAAATCAACACATGAGCAATAGGTATTAAGAATAATATCTATGACATGTGCAATCATGTGAATCAATGCATGTTTTTCATGTGAATTCGGACTAGAAATATGATTGGGTCGTGTTAAACATATGTTTAATATATTTTGGAAAAGAATATTGAATAACAGTGGATTATCGTTTGTCTTAAATGCATGAATTTACTAAATTACGAATTAATAATTGAATTAAATGGCAATAGAGGGATTCACAATTCAAATAAAAAAATTTGTATATTAAATAAATACTTTATTTGTGTTGTTAGTTTAGGATTAATATAGAAAACATACAAATCATCTCTTTTCATATCACCATGTTTCGAATTTAATAGTAGTTATTGAACTACAAATTAAACTTTATTCCTCGTGAAACGATACTATTAACTCACAAATCTTATTACTTGTACAACGATTCCATGCAAGCGCCCAAAACAGGCTTGTGAGAAACTTAAATCCATCTATGAATTTCACTTGATGGAAAAATGAGTTACCATTGGATTCAGGAAAGACTTCTCTGGCAGCATGCACTATGATGGTATTTTATACCTATGCAGTAGGATATGGAGACCTCTGTTCCAGGAATTGTGACCCTGTCATATTTCTCTTGTCATCTTTAATCTTTTCAACGTGGTAGCAACGATATATGTCGATGTGATTCTGCAGAGGCATGACAAATTGAATTCACTGTAAGCCATAGATAACTGTAGTCGTTATCAATCTGTTTTGAGTTTTATTGCTCTATTGATTTGCAATTAAGTACGCCCAATTTGAGAATACTGAATATGGGCGCTTTGCCATTTGTCTTGTAAAGTTTTCTTACTCACTGTTTTCTACAGTTTGCTTTAATGTTCTGCTAGATTTTATTTAATCATTTTTTTTTTTGGCTGTAAACAGATGGAAAAGATTCCAATAGATGAAATCAAGAAAGAGTTGAAGTGCTGAGTTATCAGAGGATGCTGTTGAGGATCTTTTGGGAATTCTTTCTATGAAGTCTTTGGCGAAGTTGGAGAGTTGGTCATAGTGTATTGAAGTTATAATCATTTCTCTCTTTAGGAAGTTTGGATAGTGTATCTTTTCCTTAATTTTCTCTGGTTAATTCTGGCTTTGGCATGTAAATTAGGGTCTCGCATGCTAAGTCAATTCACAAATAGGGCCAGGCTAGTGCCAGAATTTGTCGTAATTATTGTAGAATTAAGCAACATGTACCGGAAATGATAATATGGAGACATTAAGACTGGAAAAATTGATTGAGGACCGCAGCTGCAAATTTTCCTAATTTTCAATGGCTTCTTTTATTCTTCTGTCATATGTTTAAAACTGCAGCTGCAAATTTTCCTAATTTTCAATGGCTTCTTTTATTCTTCTGTCATGTGTTTAAAACTGCAGCTGCAAATTTTCCTAATTTTTAATGGCTTCTTTTATTCTTCTGTCATGTGTTTAATAGTTACTTGAGGCCATTTGGGAAGTGATTGTTGGAATTTTGTATTGGAAATTGGTTGTGACCAATTGAAATGATTTAAGTGGAAATTTCTTGTTTGGTGAATGAGAAATTAAGTTAAACTTAAACCACTTAATACTTGAAATTATTGGAATTGTGTAGAATATTGTGGAATATTCTAGAGAATGTAGATGAAAAGATGTGTCTTTTCATATGGATCATGACTCTTGAAGAGCATGATTTTTTGTATGAGTAACTTCCAATAATTATGATTATTCAAGAGATGTGTCTCTTGGTATGGATGTTCCAACTACTATATATATGGATTCCCTATGTGTTTGGATTAACTACACAACAAACAATTCATTTGATAGTTTCATATCATGGTTACTTTAGTTTTGCATAAAACACTTTATAGAAGTGATTTTCTCTTGCATCAAAATCATGGTTATGGTAGAGAGGGAACTCCGTTCGAGTTCGTTGGTCTAAGTCATTTGGAGTGCTCCTATGGCTTGACGTGGTCGTTGTATCTTGGGAGATGATTGCCGAGAAACCGTTAGCACCGATGCGGGGCAAATTCATCTTAAGGAAAAAGTGTCAAACACTTGTCTCGACCGATCGCATCACTTGCATTTCATTTTTCTCATTTCTGATTTTATTTATGCTTGATTTCAGAATATGGTTAATTTATTTATGTGTTTTATTGAAGGGTTTGAATTGAAAAACAATATGCGTTCACTCATATTGGGAAGTGAAGAATTCATATTATTATATTCGAAGTCGGTAAATCGCTATTTTATCTTCTCAAATCAGATTTCGGTAAGTCGAATGATGTTTTGATTTCACGCATATTAACGGCATGCTCTTGATGAATATAATATGCACATTATCGGTGTAATATCTCCTATAGTGATTGCATCAGAAAGGGTGTTGTTTTTGAATCAGCTGTAATTTATTATGGTACATTTTGCTTTTGTTGTAAAGAAACTTACGAATTCTGTGGAAGCACTTGCTGACTTAAAGCAACTATTTTCGCTTGCTGAAATGTATGGTTACTCTGAGTGGATTCAATTTGATGCATCCACTGTCCGTTGTCTAGCTTATTACATGGGAGACGTATTCGAGTTAAAATTTATAAAGCTTTTTTTACCCATTTCTTTCTCCCAGACCTCAAGGTTTCCCATTATGCTTTCGGCCGGTTTCATAAATGTGTGATTCAAATATATTTCTGTTATTATTTTGTCATCAAATTCATAAATCTGATTTACATATATTGACACTGCTGACACCCTGAAACACCCTGAAACAGAATCTGCACACTATATAATTACTTTCTGAAGGAAAGAAAAAACCATCGCCCTGCCTAACCAGAGCCCATCGGTTCTGGTCTGGTTCGGTTCCTTCTCAAAACGTGGAATTTTTTGGTTCCATGTGTAGACATCCCATTGGTTTTCGATTCAGCCCTGTTCTCTTGGGAGCCGAATCAGACGACGCCCACTCCTAGTATTGGAATATTAGTTAGTTAGTAAGTTAGTTGGTAGTTGACCCCGAACCTGAGCAAATGTCCCCATCGAGAAGGACATAACATATTCCGTCTGATAATGTTCAGCAAGCTTTTTAGTGCCTCCACAAACACATTTTCCACATGAACATATAGGTCTATAATTACTGAGTTATTTCCAAATTGTTTTCAGCTGAGTGAAGTATGAACTGACATATGATTGACCTTTTGTGTGATTCATCAGCTCTCGCCTCAACTGGAATATGCGTGGCCAATTCCTTTGTTGTTAGCATTCCTTTAGATCCATCCAAATCTCATATGCAGATTCAGAATATATAATACTTGCAGAGATTTCCTTGGATACAGAATTGAGAACCCAAGATATGACGATATTGTTATTTTGGATCCATGAATTGAGTAACTCCTGATAATTTTCAGGTCGTAGAATGGATCCATTGATGAATCCTAACTTGTTCTTCACCGAAAGTGCAATCATCATCGATCGACTCCAGGATGCATAGTTATCTCTAACCAATTATTGTGAAACGAGGACAAGGCCTGGGTTATTTGAATGATGCAGAAAATATGGACTAGTTCCATCATCGATGCTGGATTACAGGCTGATGATGAAGAATTTTCGATAATGAATTTGGAATCTGAAGCCATTGTTGTTTAGAAGCTTCAAACTAGATTAGATTAAACAGATTTGTTAGTGAAGGTATGAATGCTCTGATACCATATTGAAGATCAAGAATGTGAAATGGAAGAAAAAATTCATTCAACCCGGAAATGTCATACAGCCATTGTATAAATAGAATTGGGATATCTAACAGAATATGACAGCTAGCTAACTAACTCTTTCAACTTACTCATTGAATTACAAATTTCAACTACCAACTAACTAACTAACTAATATTCCAATACCTTAAATAAGAAACCAGATAATAAATTTATTAGAACAGCATTCAAATAAACTGCTCCGACAGTCTAAAGAGTAAAGAGCATGTTTGGCTAAGCCTTAAAGTTACTTTCAGGTAACTTATTTGCCAAACATTTTTGCGTTTTTTTAGATGTTACTCTCTTTGGGAGATTAGTAGTTTAAAATCTTATTTCTTTAGAAGTATATCTTTACTTAATTTCCATAAAAAAAGTTCTTTTGCTGTGTTCTTCGTCTTAACCAAACATGCTCTAAATATCCGAGTTCAATTTTTTATGCTATTTCACTCCATTTGGTGATTATGCAGCTGCTCAAAGAGAGAGGACTTAGTCTCCAGATAGAAAACATTGTCTGCTCGTTGGATAGGGATCTCCAGGGTGCAGCTTCTGGAATTGCTTCTAAACTCAGGGGAAAAGGTCAAAGTGTTGTCTTGGTTTTGGAAAATAAACCACTTAAATGGTATGCCAGATTTCATAATACCTATGTCTAAAAGTTAACTTCTTCAATTCATATCCTTTGTTTCTTGTACCATCCCAATATTAACACTGGCTTCTTTTATATGTTGGTCGTTCCTTTATTTTAATTTATATTATTTCTTATTGTTTATAATCACCAGGGTGTTTAAAAAGGGCAGCGCGAATAAATGATCGCACGCTGATATTAGTGGGTAGTGCCGAGTGGCAAAAGGGTATGGTTGGAGTCAAAATTCCTTCATCTGGCGAACAATATGATATTATAGTTGATGAACTAGAATAGCAATGTCAAATTATAATGCCCATAACTGTACCTTTTACGTTTATCCTGACCGATTGACCAGTCCAGTCTTATAATCAGTTTCTAAATTTCTCAATCTTACTGTAGACGAGGAACTTCAAATCTGTAACAACTTAGCATCAAGAATTCGAAAAAAATAAGTGCATTGTTTGGTTGAATATATTTCACTTGAACTATTTGTTAGGCTTTGTGGAGCTTAATTTTGTTTGATCCGGTTGACGACATGACTCGAATAATGTGCGTGGTTTTTTGAATGGGAGATTTTCTAAGACTTAGTCCATGGAGTGGATGGCCCAAGCCGGAGCGCTCATGGACAAGCCTCTTGGGGGTCCAGGGGTAATGCCCCCGGGAAATTTTTTTTGGCCCCGTTTTGTAGCCTATTGTAAATCATACGCGCAGGATATAAAAAACACAATTTTGGTGATTAGGGTTCTTTTTATATAGAGAGAAAAAATTGGACGTCTACACTTTGTATTTTCCTTGATAATAGTGAGATTCCTGCAATTCTGTGGACGTAGGCAAAATTGCCGAACCAAGTCAATATTGTCTTGTGCGTGAGATTTTTTTTTCTTTTGGCATTTGCTTTCTCTATTTTTTGTTTCTTATAAATTGGGAATTTCGGGTTGATTCCCTACACTATTCACAATGTACTGATTTGTTGTACCTCTATTGGGTTGCATTTATAATTGCTATCATGTCCTTAAGGATCGAACTCTTAAGAAGAAATTCTCGATATGCTCACAGAACAAGATTTCCAATGTAGTGTTGTGGCCCTTTTTTTTTTAATGGCAGAAGAAGGTTTTGAATAACGGATTATGGCTAAAATTGGTGAAATGCTATTTTTTCTTCAGTTATTTTCTGCAGCCATTAAGTTTTACATTTCTACCCAGAACAGGATGTTTCTAGATTTATAATCATGCATGCGTTGCCCCCCTCGGGGGCATAGCTCAGTGGTACAAAAGACATGAGTGAGGTAGTATCAGTTGAGCTGACAGCCACAATGTGAGGGTGAAACACAAGGTATGAAATTTGACTATTTGTGGGCACCAGTATGGTAGCTCTTGGATTCTGGTCTGCTGGGCACACCTACGATTTACCTCCTCCACGATACTCTAGGGGCGGGGCGTGGCTCAACCTTTTATAATCATGCATGCGTTTATTAAATTTTCAGTTTATCTTTCGGTTGATGGATGGGAATGTAATGTTTTCGTTATGCTGGAAACTTGGAATTCATTAATCAATGTACCCCTTGAACGAGGGACGTTGCGAAGAATGATTTTTATGCAGCCTGTTGATGTTGTATAAAGTGCGTGTTTGATATGTATTATTGAACTATTATTCCACCCTACTAATCTGGCCGAAAAAGTTGTTATTTAACTGGTTCATAAGAGTGTTTCATGAGATGTCAAGTCGAAATCCAGAGGCGAGTGGGAAGACTTGTTACAAAACTTTCAAATATAAATGATCCAAGTTCCTTGTTATACATTATGGATTTCAAATGTTGCTCTGCTTGAAATTAGATTTGACATGATTATCGACAAATGTTATGTCTCTTCTTCTTCTTCTTATTTTTTGGGGGGGATTTGACATTAGTCGATTCATGGTACTAAATATGTTTTTGAAAGGCTCATCTCCATTATTTCCAATCTATGCATGAGAATAATTGCATTTTATAACTAGGGGTACCAAACTGATGAAGACATCACCTAGAGCTTGTTTGGGAGGGATTAAAATTTGATTAAAATTGAAAAATTAGTCGTTATTGTTGACTTTTATTAGACGGGTGGGATCCAATAACGACTATATTTTCAATTTTAATTGAATTAAAATATCTCCCAAATAAGCTCCTAATTTGCAATTGAAAATGCTTATTTTGAACCCACTTTTGCCTCCCTTAAAGTTTGTACAACTTTTTGGGTAATGGGATTATAAAGAATTGGTTCCACTACATATTAGTGCTTCATAATGAAAAAGGGAAAGTCTCTATCTAAACCAAAATTTCATTTTTCAACAAGGCAAATATATCTAGTTGCACCGTTGGTCTCCGACTTAATGATTTAGCAACAAGTTGGTCGCTAGAAACGAGCAAGTTTGTTCAAAACCTAACATATTTTTGAGTAATCAATCTTAATGATAGAAATTGTCCAAATTTTACTTCAAAATTCACATGGTCGTCATAAGAACATGCCTCCTTCGAATAATTTTAAACCAATACAGATTAAGAAGCTTATAAAGTTGGACTTGTGATTGCCATGTATTGAATATAACAAAGATTTGGAAGGTTTTCAGTCGGTACAAACTAATTGTGCAATTAAATAAAAAATTAGGGGTCAACTTGCTCTCTTTTAAAGGTGTCGACCAACTTGCTACTGGTACAAAAGTTGAGGGACAAATGGCAAACCTTTCCTGTTTTTAGTATTTGGGTGCATCGAATAATCCCAAATAATTAGATAAATTGAAGCATTTTGGTAGCAAAATTTAATGATATGGAAATCTTTTGGAGTTTTCCAAAATGAAAAAACACTGTTTTTGTAATTTGCGCTTCAATTCACGTGGCTCGTCTCATGCCCTAAGTACTGATCATATTCAATGAAGAAAATTTATCAATAATAAGTCGAATACAAAGTTTTAAATTGGAAAGTACTGATTCCGCTTATACTCTTTTTTAAAAAAAATTGATAATTTCAAAAGCAAATGCAAAATATCAATTACGAAAGACCAGAGATAATTCATTTCGTTCCAAAATTGTTTGCTTTTTCACTTTGATTACGAGACTTGCATCATCGAAAAAAATTGCAAACAAATGTACTTTCCCCAACTTTTTATTTATAAATACTATTGAATATTCTTTTAAAAACAACTATTTTTCACCCAATTTCCAATTTCCATCATATAATTAAATAATTTATTTAAAATGCATTTAACTTTATCGTATAATTATTAGACTCGTCAATTCAACTAGAAGACGTGTCAACTCTCGTGTTAGGCGGCGGAGGAAAAGGAAAGCTAAAGTCTTAATTTTTGTCATCCACTACAACATATCCCATAATAATTATAAAAAGTTCCCACTTTTGTTCGTTTATTGTGAAATTACACTATTTTTTTAGCACTTTTTCGACAACTATAATGGAGCATTTTAGGAGGAATACATCAAGATCTACATAATAACTTACATAATGCCACATAACATTCTAACATTTATCAGTTTAAAATACAATCAACTTTTTCATCCAATTTTTTCTCTCCAGTCATGTTATGTAATCCATTTATATACATTTTTTTTATGTACAAGTAGTAAAATCCAAGATAAAAACACTAGGTAGAGAATACGTATTGAATGCACATTGAATTTTAGCAGTAGTATCTACTCACTTGAAAATGACATGTTTTTACTTGAACTTTTATATGAGATAGATAACACAAGTCATCTTTTGTCGACTAAGAATTGATGGAAGAAACATGAGTTAAACGATCATTTATATATAAAACTAAACGTAGTTCAAAATGTTCATATAAAATGTAAAGTTGGTGTAGTACTAGAAATTTTGACAATAAACCCCTGTTTTTGGAAAGTAAAATGGATATTAACAAATTTTACAACTTAATTTGTTGATCAAACTACAACATTACATATCCACACCTCTAATGATCAGCGTTATAAAAAACGTAATGCGTGGAGGTCAAACTTTCGGGCAAGACAAAGTCTAGGTGAGGTCAAAGTGTAAAATTAAAAAAAAAATGTTTTCTTATTTTAATATTACTTTAAATTTTTTATCAATCTAAAAATCATTTAATAATTAAAATAATACCTACCAAATATTTAAAATAAAATTTTAAGAACTTTATACATTTTTCAAAATTTTCATAAAAAAGAAAAGTTTCAAAATCATAATTACATAATGTAAATAGTATGGGAGTTTAAATCTTATCTGACTCTTTATCAGTCTCCAGTTCAATATCATCTTCTTTATCTAATTTATCATCCGTGTCGTCCGATACAAATCAACCTTTTAAGATTTGTAAAAGAAAGTATATATATTTTTCATCGCGCATAGACGCGCTATCAGTGGTCAAATCCGTCGTTGACTGCTTATTTAGCGCTCAGGCATGAGGTGTAACGTTTTTACCACGCCTCGTGTATTGGCGACGCCTAAACGCAGTGAACAGTACTAATAATATAATTCAAGTGTTATTCAAATTACATGAGAATATTCTTCTCTCCTTAGATATCAAGAAGGTTGGGGCAGCCATCTATGTCTCCCAACCCATTGGGTAATTTGGCTTCTTGCCTCGTTTCATACTCGATTAGGATAGGGATTAAGATAGGGCGGGGTGGGGCTGGATCTTATCTCGTTTAGTGTCCCTTTTTTTAAATTTTTAGTTGGTAATTTTTTTTTTAAATTGTTGGAAAATTCATATTTCCTCTACAAATGATGATGATTATTTTTTTTTTGTATAATAAAAAATTTATATATTTAAATAAATTTTAAACAAGGCAGGTAATGGGTCGGAAATCTTGTTCCCCGTACTTGTCCTACCCTTGTCTCGGGGCAATGATTCTCGCTGCGTACCCACCCCATGTACTTGATGAGGCAGGAAATATTGATATCGAGTATGACGAATTTTTTTCAATTTCTATCCAAGGTGCTTTCAAGGTCATGATATTTTCAATCACTTAAAGCGCATTATTACGTGAAAAAGTTTGTTGTTATTTTTGTTCCGCTTCTTACCTCCAAAAATAAAATCAATAATCTCAATCTGGATAATTTTACAAGATGAAGGATGAAATGAAATTTTAGACAAAAGGGTGTGGACTGTAATAGAAAATGAAGGCTTTTAATTGTGGTATAAATGCTTCAAATGAAAATGACCCCCAGAATGGAATGATCTGAGCATCACGTCTTTGTCTTCAAATGAACGTATAATTATTAAACAAATAACAAAAATATTAAAGAAAGAAGCTCAATAAATGATATGACACTGGGTCCCATTGAGTTTTGTGCTGAAACAGTCTCTTCAGGAAAGAAAATTCTAATATGAAATTTAGTGCACCGCTCGATACTCATTTTTTGAACTCGCAAAAAAGTCAAAAAGATCCAATTTTTATGCCCAAAACTTCGAAAGTTCTGTATTTCTTTGCTGTTTGAGTAAATTTCAGCATCTAGGTTTCGCTCAGTTGTCTCTAATTTTCTCCGAGTGTTTTTCTTTTTTTTTTCCTTTTTTTCAATTTGGAGGTTTCTGTGAAAAGGGTTTACGGGGTTTGCTGTTTTTGGTAATTTAATTGATTCCAAAAGTTCGATTTTGGTTGCATGATTTGTCTGTGAACTGGGTTTGAACGTTTTTATTCTTTTTAGTCTCAGGGTCTGAACGCTTGATCGAAAGAGGTTTAAGATTTAGTTTTTCAAATTTGTGTTTTGTTTTTGTGTCCGTGGATTAGTAAAACAGTAAAGTTGGTGCAGAAGATAATAGAAGTCTCACTTGTGGATTGCAAGGCTTCATTTCTATACATCAGTCTCAAATACTATGTAATTTTCTCCATATCACTTACTTTTATGATCCTTCCATATCTTGCTATAAGAATTTGTCAATATTTGAAAATAATTATAATTTGTGGAATCTTTATTTGGAAATAGTGTTGTTATTTCTTGATTATGCTGGATTCATATAGTACAGTTTTTTGTTCTTAGTGCTGCTATGTTATTGTGGGGCATATAGATGTTGGAATATGTTGGGAGTATAGAGCTTAATTTCATTTATCCCCTCAAGTATATGAGTATTAGGCCGCCCTTACATTTCTCCGTATATAAAGGGTTCTTGAGGGATGATGGTTGGAAGAGCGGTTGGGCAAAACATTGTTTCCTTCCTTTTCATTATTGTGATAAACTAGAGTTGCAAGTGAATGTAGCTATCACACTGAGCTGAACCACTATAAAATTTGTGCGCATTTTGCTTGGTTTCAATTTATTCGATTTATTATTGCCCTCATAAGAAGGGATTAGGGCTTAATCCTAATGAAATATGTCTTTGATTTACTTGTGAAAGCTGGATGCTAATTTAAAACTTGAATTTTATGACATCTCCGAACCCCTTATTTCATTAAAGCTTCATTAAGATTACTCTAACACAACATAGCGAATTGAAAGTAACTTTACAGTTGTCCAGGAACAGCAGCAAAGATGCCTGCTTGCTGTTAGTAACCGCGCATATTGTATTGTATTAGATGAAGACTTCTTGAAGTAATTAATTTTAGTTACTGAGACATGGCAGATATGGCCTTTAAATTACCCTTTCTTGATAATGATTTTTGTGCATTACACGTAGAAGAGAGCCACAGATAAACTTCAGTTTGTTTTCAGTAATTTTTGAGTCGTTAGACCCAAGTAATAAGAAATGTTTCTTTGCCATAATTGATTCTAGCAGATTCAAAACATAATTATGGAAGTTTCACGCTATGCAATTATGTGTAATTCAGTTATGTGTTTTGCTACTAGATCTCTGAACTTTTATGTAAAGTCTTCCCTTCTAGATTTCAGAAATTTCCTCAGTTTTTCTTTGTTTGTTAGAGATTTATCTGGAAGCATAATAAATTGTAATGGTAAATTCTTTTCTGAAGTTAGTGAATTTGGAGTCTCTGGATAACATCCTGTTCCTTAATCAATTATCAATTCGTGTATCCATTTTTTTTGCAGGGGCACAGAAGGGAACACCACCAATTCTTCTCGAATTTCTGATTACAGTGTCCTAGAGCAATATCTTGGATTTCGAATTGAAGATGCTACTAATGTCAGTCGAAGTATGTTCCGCAAATCTTTATCTTGTCTGAAGTTATTGATGTCCTCAAGTTCTTCTCCCTTGTCTCTGTGAGTGTGTGTTTCTACGCACTACATCAATGTCATGCTTCATTAATATCTTGGTAGAATAATATTCCGAAAATTTCTCCTTTTAATTGGATTGACATCCCCGATACATGCACCACTCCTGATTGAGGAAAATATGGTCTCGGTGGAAAGGAGGACAAATTACACTCAAGATAACTCCAAAACACGCATCTAATTGGAAAACCCTAAACACCCCATTCAAAAAAATAAAAAATGAACAATTGTTCTACAGCGTTGTGGAAAGATATTAACATGTGCACTTTGATGCATTGCTTGTCCATAGCACACTTTTGGTTCAATTATGCAAGCCAGGCCTGTGGTGTAGTCCAGCTCTCTCAGAAACATGAATTAGAGGGACCAAGCTAGGTTGCAGTCCTTTAGGGATGTTTTTAGGAGTTTCTAGAGTGATTGGCTTGCGTTGGGTATTTCTTCTTGTAGCTTCGCTTGGTACTTTTTCTTCTTATGACAAAAGATGGAACAAATTATTTTTTTACAGATCCAGTATTTGATCCAACCATCACTAGCCAAACAATGCACCCTGTTCTCCCAGCTAACACTTTTGATAAGGTAACAGTACTTTCTTTTTATTTTAGCCTGTTGCTTTATTTGATTTGAAAACTGTTATCAGTTTCTGAGATCTTCACATCTTCGTTGATTTTTTAGTCTCATGCTCCTACCAACACACATTTCTCTGCCGCTCTTATGGGATCTCAAACAGTGCAATTACAAAAGGGACCATCGCAAAATCTAGTTTCTGTATCTGGTGCTCAACATGAGAACTGGGGAGAGTCCAACTTGGCAGATTCCAGTTCCCATACAGACACTTCAACTGACATGGAGCCTGACGATAGAAACCAAAGGGTGATTTTTTTTTTTGTAATTCTGACTTTTAGTTTTTAGCTTCTAGAAGTGTGTTTTCATTCTGCCTTCTCTAAATAAGTTATTTATGAATTTGCATTTAAGGTTCTCGAAAAGTTTATATCTATTTAGTCAGGGAACTTACAGCATACGAATTCAAGTTATTGTATTCCGTAATTCTTTGAGGAAGATTAACCCTTGTTTGAGCCCTATTTTGAGAGAAAAATGCATTTTTGAATAGTGATTTTTGGAGAAATTGTGGTTAAAATGAAGAAAAAGTTTTCGATTTACGTGTAATATTATTTTATTAGAGAATGCGTGGTTGAAAATGAGTTTTGAAAAAATGATTTTTTTGATAAAATGGGGCTCAAACAAGGGCTTTTGTTGTTAATTTTTATCGATATGTGACTAAGATGCCACTCTATCTTGTGTAGTTTGATATGGGTCAGTCCGGTGCCGTTGCAGTCTCAGATTCCAGTGGCAAATCAAAAGAAAAATCCTTGGATCATAAGGTTGTAAGTTTATACTAATTGTCATTTGACTAATTTCAAGAATAACTTGTTTATTCCTCTCACTATTATGTCTTTTAGACTTTGCGAAGGCTTGCCCAGAATCGTGAAGCTGCTAGGAAAAGCCGATTGAGGAAGAAAGTAGGTTTCTTTAATTTATTTTTTTGCTGCAAAATTTTGTTTTTATTCTTTTTTGTTGAATGAAACAAATTGTCTAATCATGTATAGGAATGTTGGAGTACAGTAAATTAATTATTTTCTCGTCTGCTTTGTAGGCCTATGTACAGCAGCTGGAGAATAGCCGCTTGAAGTTGACCCAACTAGAGCAGGAACTGCAGCGAGCTCGCCAGCAGGTTGGATTTTATTAGATGTGCTATATCAGTTTTTTGTTCCTTTGCCTGTAATATCGTGAGTGGTAGTTTAAACCTTTCATATTTTCTGCATTAAAAGTTTTGATTTTTTTTTTATTATTATTATTTGTTTTTGCAGGGTATGTTCGTTTCCAGCACTGGAGACCAATCTAATGCTGGGAGTGGCAATGGTATGATGTCTTTTTTTGCTGTAGACTTGATTGTTCATCTCTTATCGATAATTTTAGATGATAAAAACCTACCCACAATATTGTTTAAAAGACTTTACAATTCTTTTTTAGTTGTTTTGAGCACAAGCAGTACAGTAGACAGTGAACATGTTTGTCTAAGCTTAAAACGTTTACTTTTAAGTACATAAGTATGTTTTCGTATAAATAGTTTTGTAGTGCTGAAATTGGAAATAAGTTACTTATTTTGACAATAAATTTAGAGTTACTTTATTTTTATTAAGAAAAATTAAATTCTCCTAACATGTTCGAAAACAAAATTACTTATCCTAGTAAAGGTCTATTGAGTATTGCAAGGTTGCAGGCAAGGAGGAAACAATAGCTGGAAGAAAAGGATACTTGTGTATTGTTCCTTAATGCTTTACGTGGTGCAAATTAAATGCCAAAATTTTTGTTTGGTCAAGAAGCTCATTCATCTGACGATTGTATGGACTAGTTCATATACATGTAGAACATTTCGAACAATTAGGAAGTTTATTGATCTTGTACAATGGAAATGATATGTTGAACCATTCATGCTTAATAATTTTATTGCCCTTTTTTATTTTCTAGAGAAATTTGACTATCAGAGGCAATCTTACTCCTCCGGTTATTTACAAATTTAAGTTTTAGTTGATGGACAAACAGGGAAAAAAGCACGGTGGCTGTACTCGATTGATTGTCCTGTTTTCTTTTCTTCCAATTTACTTTTCTCGTTATATTCTTCGATATGGCTATGATGAAACTAACACATCTTTGTTATTGCAGGGGCCATGGCATTTGATGTGGAATATGCACGGTGGTTGGAAGAGCACAACAGGCAGATAAATGAGCTTAGGATGGCTGTCAATTCACATGCAAGTGACCTTGAACTTCGTACTATTGTGGATAACGTGACGGAACATTTCAAAGAGATATTCCGGCTGAAAAGTAAAGCAGCCAAGGGTGATGTATTCCACCTCTTGTCTGGTATGTGGAAATCGCCTGCAGAAAGGTGTTTTATGTGGATTGGTGGGTTCCGTCCATCTGAACTTCTCAAGGTGTGTGTTCATATTTTTGTAGATTTCAGTCTCTGCCTCTCATGCGCACAGATAAGTGCTCCCAAATTTTCCTCTATATAGCATAGGAATCTAGGATGACCTAATACAAATACACGAATGCCAATATAGCCAAGCAAATAGCTCAACAGTATGATGAGGTTTCACACTGTCCAACATTTGTGGATTAACAAGTCATTATTCGTTCCATGATGCTTTTGTTGAGACTTTGGTTTTCATTATAAAAGGTCAACCTTGATAAGAGAATAACCCAAGCCCTTATATGTTGCATTGCGGAATTTCTCTTGACACGCTCCTTGCAAAATGGTGGCTCGTGTGAAAACACCAATTTTGGAATTTGAATTGCTCGATTTTGCTTTAGACAGACTGAATTGCTCGTTTGAGCTTAATAGGCTTTGCTACTATATTAAAACTTTAGATTTTTTCTGAAAGCTCTTCTTTTTAAGAGTAGTAGCCCAAAGCCCTTATATGTTATTAACATATCTATCTTTATTCAACATGGGACCTGTCACAGCTTTTACCATTAAATTTGGATCTCTTTTATTGGAAATGGGTGACATGCTGCACTTTCTCCTGGGAAAAATGTTCATATTATTGCCTTGTTCATTGTTCTATAATGGCATTTAATGGCAATGCAGCTTCTCGAGAATCGATTGGAGCCTCTAACTGAGCAACAATTGGAGAAGATAAGCACATTGCAGCAATCATCTCACCAAGCCGAAGATGCTCTCTCACAAGGTAAAGAGGCGCTACAGCAATCTCTAGCCGAGACATTAGCTACTGAATCTTCAGGACCCGAAGGGCCATCCGGTAACATGGCAAATTATATGGGTCAGATGGCTATGGCCATGGGGAAGTTGGGGACTCTTGAAGGTTTCTTGCGCCAGGTAGTAAACCTCATTCGTTGATCCGGCTGTGCTATCCATTTTGTGAAATATTTGATTTCTAGAATATGTTTGATTACATTTACCAAAAAACTAGAGAACATAAAGCGAAAAAGTAACCTATTTAAACATGTTTAAAAGTAAAAAGTTACTTAAAAGTAAATTTTAAGTGACTTTTAAGCCTACCATCCACGTTTGATCACATTAGTAGGTAGCGGTCGAAGTGTGGAACCTCCATTTGTCAACAAATTTAGCCCTGTTTGGTTTAGATAAAAAAATATTTTTTTAGTAGATTTTGATTAGAGTTAATGAAATGTGTGGTTGAAAATTAATTTGAGGAAAAATGAGTTTTTGGAGGATGCAGCCAAACAGGGGCTTATTGACATTTTGAAGGAGATAGTAGTATAAATAAGTTGTGGACTTTTTTCAGCTCCGTTTATCCATTTTTGACATTTTCAGGCGGATAACGCCAGGCAACAGACTTTACAGGAGATGCATCGTATCTTGACGACTAGGCAATCAGCCCGTGCCCTTCTTCTAATGAACGATTATTCCTCGCGCCTTCGAGCCCTCAGTTCTCTTTGGCTTTCGAGGCCACAAGAGTGAAGCTAAATAACCCTTCCATCAGAAAGTAAAGCAGAATGGGAAAATATATAGTCGATACCGTCGAGGTGGCCTTCATAAATTGCAGTGACTGTTTTGTTGTAAAGTGTAACTCTATCTGTGCATGTAAAAAAATGTGTTGTAGGCTCATTTCTGTGTTTAGTACAGGAATTAATGTCATGGTATTGTGCTGTTTTAATAGAGGAATGGAGGATAAAGATCAGTTCAATAATTATAGAAATAAAGTTTGTCTCTAGGTATTATTATTTCAGAATTATTAATCTTTGAGTATTTTAATTTTGGAAATTTAAATAGTTGAAATTATTTCAGTATTTTTACACAACATTAAATTTAGGCCCTCTAGTTGTCTTTTTAATTGGACAAATATTTGCAAAATATACTACTATCAAGAATTATTTCTACTTCTGTGTGGATTTTCAAGTAAAACAGTTTATTATTATCATTATTACTAATAATAATATTATTAATTTTTATTTCAGAGGAAAATAGTCAGTCTCCTTCGATTGTATGCATTAATCTACTAAATATTTGCTAAATTCCTATGAACTAAAATACTTATCAGGGTTTGGATTTTTACGAGTTATCTGCGTAATCTGCCAAATATTTGCCAAGCAAAAGACCAACGAAAATGTTGATTTTTACCTCGTACCGCCGACCTCACCCAAGTCTTAAAGTTCTTGTTAAAATTCTGGCTTCACTCTAATACAATTTTTGAAGTGTTGGATGGAATAATTGAATAAATTAATTCGGCCGATCATTCAATCGAGCATAGATGTGTTAAATTGTCCTACATAGCTAATGCCCGAGTACAATAGTCATTAAGCCTGGGGCCATGTCGGCCCTACCACGCTCGCCTAAAAAACTAGTGGCTCAGCATGGAGCGTTTTACACCTCCTTTCAAGCCTAGGAGTGAATATTAAAAAAAAAAAGGGGCTTGAATATATAAATTATCCATTCATTGATAAAATCAAAAAAAATATTAAAATCCTGAAAACAAGGAGCCAATTACTAGGGGTGTAAGCGGTCCGATTTTACCGATTTTTGACAAATTTTCAAACCAAATCGTTTCAACCGATTTGAGAAAAACTCAAACTTAAACTAAATCGTTTTGATCGGTTTGAAAAACACTCAAACCTAAACCTAACGGTTTGGTCAGATTTTAAACCGCCAGTTTCGCGTATATTTTTTTTGCATGTCTAGTGTCTACTTTTATTCCATTAATTCAATATATATTTATATCTTACTGACAATAAATCTAAAATAAACTAAATATATTTACTATAAATTTAAATACCAACAAAATCAAAGTAAAATCACAATAAACTAAAATCACAGTCATATAATTCCAAAGACAACTTAGACGATTTTCATGTTCAAGAATCAAAAACACGTAACTATGTAACTAAAATCACAGAATTTCGAAAATAGAAATAATCCACATGTCACAAAAATTACGAATTTGGGAATTTTCAAGAATCGAGATGACAAACTATGTTTAGTAATAACTTAGACGGTTTCCATGTTCAAGAATCAAGAACACGTAACTATGTAACTAAAATAATAATAAAAAAATCACAGAACTAACCCATAGGTCACAAAAAATCACGCAGTCTTGCAACGAAATTGAAGGCTATCAGTTGTGACTGACCGTAGACTACGGCGACCGTCGCTGACAACTGAAAATTCTGATCGTAGACTACCGACGATTTGAGGAAAATTCAGGAGCGAGAGAGAGAGAGATAAATGGAAGGTTAGGGATTAGGGTTGTGTTTGTGAGAGTTTGTGTTCATTTTTTTAAAAAAATCAGGATAGCGGGTCGGGTTGGGATTTGGACGGGTAGTAAATTGTAATAACTAATAAGAAATTAGAAATTGACAAAAATACCAACAAAATGACAAAATTATTGATTTAAAAATTGGAATTTTGGATAAATTTTCAAAAAAAATTCAATTTTTTATTTTTTATTTTATATATTTTTTCGCCGGTCCGGTTTGGTTTTAAACCGTAATTAAAATTCCCAAACCTAAACCAAACCGTTTTTGACCGGTTTGGTTTGGTTCAAAACCAATTCGTTAACGAGTCCACGTGGCACCAAATCGTTGATTTCGAAATTGCGGTTTCGGTTCGATTTTCCGATTTGACGATTTTTGCTTACAACACTACCAATTACCCTGCTTATTGCAATATTGTCAGCAAAGAACATGGGTGGAGGGCCGTGGAGCTGCAACTTAAATCTAACTTTCATTGCATCACTACCAACGGCTATATTCCACTACCTAATATTACTCAAATCAAACATCACCCATCCCCTAACGGTCCAATTTTCACACAATAAGCCAACCTAGGACAACACAAAATTTCCTTCTACCTTAAAATCCCACTCTCGCAAGAATTCATCCTCTCCCCTCTCTCTCAAAAATACTGAAAGTTGCTCCACTTTTCCCATAGTTCTTTCTCACTCTTCAATGGAAAATACTAGTCCTAGTACAGCTAAAGTTCAGCACGTAACGAAAGCATCATCAGATGAACTCCTGAAGAAGTTTGCTGAAGTGGGTTCTGAATCAAATGACAAATCCTTAACCAAGAAAGAGTTACGATTGGCGAAACGCGTAAAAAGAAGCCAAGCAGCCATTAATGGAGGTGGCTGCAGTGGCCAAGGTGAGAGAAAGTCACTTCTACCTCCGGCTACATCACGAAGACCCGTGGCTTTGATTAGAAGGTTAGGGATAGGAAAGGCCAAGATCAGAGATAGGGAGTTCAAGAACAGGTCCATTTTGGGCACAGTTGAGAAGGTGAGATTTGTTTAAATTGGATTTATCTTTGGAGCATTTAATATTCAATTTGATATGATAGATAATAGAGGATTGCTTTGTTATTTGAATTTAGAATTAGTGTTTCTTGGTTTTCATGCTTGCTTCGGACAGAACTTGAAAGTTTGGATTCAGATAATTTAGATTTTGTCTTCTTGTGCATCTAGAAATGAACCGAATGACGGGTTTTTTATTGTGTTAGTTTAGTTTAACTCTAAGAAACAATGAGTTTAAACATGAAGGCAATGGTAACACTTTACAAAGAGATTGTAGATTCTTGGAATTCTTACTACTTTGTCAAACAAGATCTGAACTTTTAAGATTAACTTAACCATCTTATTCAGAATTATCATTGTTAAAAAATTCATTGATGAACATTTTTGGAGTAAAAAGTTAGATGAAATTGCATTAAGGTGGGAAACTTTTGGATACTAAATTTTCTGAAAGGATTGAATATGAAGGAAGAAATTGCCTTCAATGGATTGAGAAGTTTGTAAAAAGTATAAGAATACATAAAGAATACAATAACAACTTGAATGCACAGAGTACAGAATCCTCTATGCAGTGGGTATGTTAGGGAAAGCCTTTATATGTTGGTCGAGATATAAGTGTGCGCTATGATTAGGCTGCGTACACCATAAACATCAGGACATTATGACTTCATGAGGGTGAAATCCTGCCATCAAAACTCTCCTCTTGAGCCACCTCCCTCCATTGAGTAATGCCTGTTATAATGGATATTCCTGTCTTTCCACCACACATTTCTATAGTGCATTATGAATCTGAATGTTGTCCTTATAGATTTTGTGATTTATGAACAATGAAATCTCATTTGAAACTATTGACTTTTCTCTTTTTGCGTATAACCAGACGTGGCGTAGAACAGTTGAAGTGGCTTCAAGAGTCTGGATGGAGAAGCATTACAACCAGCACAAACGTCTAATAAATGGCTTGAATTAGGTATATATCATTGCAACAATTCTTCGAACGGAAATAAAATATCTCTTAATCTAGTTCTCTTCAGGAAAAAGATTTGAGAAACATTGTGTAGTGAATTTTTAGTCTTTGAAGATCAACAAATATAAGAAGAGAATAGTTTCAGATTTTGAAAAATTAAGTTATATTCAATTATTTATTTTTATATAGTGAAATTCAGCTTTGATTACGGACTTGAGTATATTTTGTAAATTCGCCCTCTCCTTCTCATTTTTGGAAAGTACGAGTGCGGAATACTTGTATGCATTATAAACTTCTTCTTGCAGGAGTATCACATAATTTAGAAAAATCACTTGCCTATCTTATAATCAAATAATACAAGTAAAACCATCATTTTTTATCATTTAAGAATGCAATATTAGGTAGTGATGGAAAAGATCAGTGTCGAGGAACCCAAATTTATTGGGGAAACAGCTTAGTTTTTTGTTATTGTAAATTGTATCTATGTTTTCTGATGAAGAGCCTCAAGATTAAAGTGTGATGCCTCTGTTATTGACAAAGGCCTATATCCAAATCTTGAGAGTAATATTAAGCAAAATGAAATAGAAAAACACGCAAAATTTATAGAGGTGTGTAGAAATGAAGTCTCCTAGTTGATGCCATCAAGATCGTTGCATTGTAATAGTTTTTGAATTTTGTTAGTTTGAAACGTGTAAATTTTGTTGTTTTTACCATTTTGTTAGTCGATTTCATATTCTAGCTTTGTTACTGTAAATGTTCTGATGCACCTACCTTGCTTAGCTCTTACATTGTTAAAATAGAAGATCAATGGAAAAGTATATGCTTTCAAAATTATATTCAGGAAGTTAATATAACTAGGCAAAATTGATTTATAGAAAATTTGCACAATCAGCCAACTAATCAAACTGTTCAATCTATTTATAGAAATTTCTAAAAAGGTTTGAGGATTTTGAATATTGCATTGTGCTAACTAAGAAAACAAAGTATATCTAGTGAAGAAGCGAATATGAATAATCTATTTTGTATGATCTTTCGGCTAAATAAAGCATACACTTGGTTATTCAAGACTGTAAACTAGAATTTCAACTTCTTTTTCCTATAATCCAGTCGAATTTCAACAAATCGATCTCATGGTGAAAGAACTTATACTTGTTTATCAAGCCAATAAGGATATACATTGGATTAACACTTGGGAAAAATACTTGCAAATATATTTCTCTAATATACAAATCTAACTTAGACGTTGGATTGGATTGATCCTTGTGGCCACTCCTGATGATCAAGCATTCTAATGTTTACTTGGACGCAAAGTCGAACAAGGATTTTAACACGTTTTGTTGACTCGATGTGACGCTCTAACCAGATTTTAATTTCAGTAAAAAGTATTGTATAATACCTATTGTTTTTGGTCAATTCCCCCATCCCACCCCTTGTCTGTGTGCATTTGTACTATCACCAATGCTCTCCAAATGTGCTCCACCAACCTTGGATATTTTATCTAATTAGCTTTGCCAATTGTATATAGCAGATCATCGACATACAAATCTACTTTGACCATATATCCAAATGCTTGTAATAGTAGTATCATCATAGGTTCTTGGAGGATTTTATCGCACACGAGGCAACTTGAAAATGGCAATTTTAAGAAGAATAAAACTATTGGAACTAGAAAAATGAATTTTCATGAATGTCGATTTGAATGATGATATGTAGTGTATGTACTGATATATTGTTGAGGGATGCCTTCATTAGGTACAAGCCACAAAGACGGGTGCTAAGCACCCTTGATGCTACATATGCCTACTCATATCTGTTTTGAAAGGATGAATTGGACGACTAACTTTTAGTCCACACAGAAAATCCGTCTCGCAGACTCTTAGTCTTGTTTATCCTCTTATGAAATCTTTTCAAGGATGTTCTGTCGAAGTGCTCGACACTTTAATTAAACAAATCCTATGTAAAAATGTGGCATTTTAAGGTGATCAAAATGAGGTATTGAAAACATATAAAACCATCAATCACTTCGGTTTGAGCGCTCTTTTTAACTCAACTGCTTCAAAAGATCTGTTGTTCTACATTAAAAGTTAATCCATTGATCATACAAAAGACAAGAGCTCTAAGTAAGTTGTTAAACTGTTTTTTTCGAGGCTCTTCTCATAAATTTTACTGCAACACAATTTTGCTCGATTAACTGTTCAACAGTATCATTTTCCTATTTTATTTGAAATCTTGATTGTTTGCTTTTGTCTTCTTTGCAGTGTCTTGTTATAGGATCCACTGTAGTACACCTTGTGATTCAGACTGATCAACCTCAAAATCTGTCAAGCCCATTATAGATTAGCTAAGCCCATGTATAATTAGCCCATTTAGACAGAGGTTATTTATGTCATTGTGGATTTCCTCCTTCATGCTTAAGGCGTGAGCTGTTCCCCAGCCCTTATATAAGTAGGCTGTAATTGATTTCATTTGGCAATTGAATTAGTTTAATCAATTGGATCTTATTCCCGCCTTTCTTTTCCTCTCTCTCAATTCTCTGCAACTTATCATGGTATCAGAGCTACGCAATTAATATTCTGCTCAAATGGCAGAGAATTCAAATGTAGCAGAAGACATACAAAGCCAGTTCGATCATTCTAATTCATCTGGTGATTCATCTGTGGGAAAAATGGCTATTGAAGATAATAATTCCATTCTCAGTAAATTGATTTCTGATCCTGCAGGACCTTATTATCTTCATTATGGAGATAATACAGGAATGCAACTTATTTCAGTTGTTCTCACTGAAGAAAACTATC